AATTGAAATTCGTTGATTAAAATGTCTATATATTGTGCGTATTTTTGAGAAGTAGTAACGTTTTCTTTTTCTAAATGTGGAAAGTGAGACACATTATTCTGCAAAAGATGCTGTTTCCACAATTTTAATTTGCGCTCAAAGCCCTGAATTTTATCATACAAATTGTGAATAAACTGTCCTTTGCCTTGAAGTTCCACATTAAGATCATTGAGATGCTGAGTCATGTCGATAAGAAACCCAAAATCGCACATCCATTCTTTATTACCAAAATGAGGAAAGGCATATCCTTTCATATCCAAGAACATTTGTATTTTGCTTTTTAAGTTGTTTACTCTTTTTAGCATTGTACCTCTACTAAGCCAACGTACTTCGGTATTAAAAACCACGTCGCCATATTTAGTTTCTAAATCTTTCAAGAATTCTTTAAATTCACGGTGATTTAACGCGCGCGACTTTATAAAATTGATTAGTTTAATGATTGGTACTGTGACATTTGGCAAACTCAATCTTTTCGCACACAAATTTTCCTNAACGATATTGACTGACTGACTGACTGTACTAACTTGTGTCTACAGTCGACCCCCCTATAACACGGTAGATACGCTCCTGTTCTTATGAATCCAGCTTCTAGGAGTCCAGCCAATCACGGCCCAGCACGTATGCAGTTTACGGACTACGGCTGTTTGAAAGGTTTCTTCCATAAAATTAATCAATTCCAGACTAATTCGACTCAACATTTCCAAAATACATATAATTTTTTGGGAATAATCCATATAAACTATGCTATAAACAAAAATTTGTAGGATTACTTACCGAGCGTGCACCGTTCGACTACGCCATTGCTTAAGCTTGTTTTCGTTGTGGAGATTGTGGTCGAATGGCACTCGCATGCTTCCCGATAAATTATTTTTTTGCAAAAAAATTCGTTAACTTTAGCGACATCATTAATATAAATATAATTTTTATGGATGTTAAATAATAAATGGTTTTTGGTAGGTCCGCTGCTCGTTTAAACTCAACAATTTGTGCAATCCTGTCATGACATGAGTTGGCAATGACATTTTACCGAATTATAGTTTTTTTAGCATGTTTTTAGCATGTTTGTACGAATACTGTCACAATTTTTTCGTCATGATATAGGAATCCGAACTATAGGAACCCGTGTTATAGGGAGGTCGACTGTAGTTGGAAAAGAGTTGTGAACTCTGAAGGGACTTATTTTAATGAATAAAACATTTAATGAAAATTTCTGCAGTTATTCGTTTTTCATCGTAAAAAACAGTACAGACCTTTTTCTTTTGGTTACTCGATACAAGAATTTATAAATTATCTCCCTGTTATGAAATATTTTCATAACAGGGAGATAATTTATCAGCATATGCAGGGAGATAATTTATCAGCAATATTTTCATAATAGGGAAATAAATATATCAGCATATGCAGATGAATTCAATTAAAAGTTATACAAATTTCCCAAATTTGTGGGAAAAAATTTTTAGTGCTTCTGCTGAAGATATGACAAATGCCAGCAATATTCAATTTCCTCCCATGTTTTTCTCAATTTCAATGGTTGTATTTGCTGCACAGTAGCTTCAATTCTGATCTTCAATTTCTTTAAAGATTGAAGAAGAGAAATGTAGACAGTATCCTTCAAATATCCTGACAAGAAAAATTACGCCACATCAAACTGACCACATCTGCCTGACTACACTTGGACACCCTTGCCCAGACTGACAATGCATTAGACAGTCAGTCTCAAAAAATTGGTTGAACTAATCTCTTGTCATCTTTGCATCTAGAAGAGGTTTTATCAACAAATTTTTACCAAAAATTATTCTACATGGTCATTACAAACACAGTACAAAATGCTTCTACATCCAAACTGTCGCATTTATTGAAATCCAAAAGCCACTAAGAAGATAGATAAAAATGCAAAAATTTAAACAAACTTTTGAAGAACTTTCTAATGTTAATAACTTGCACAAATTCAAATATGGCAGTGCCAATATTTATATGAAATCAGCAAGCTAATTTAGGAAAGTTGTGCAAATATATATATATATATTTGTGTGTGTGTGTGTGTGTTGTAAATTTTAAAATGATTAATTGGTTACATAATACTGTTTTGAAAAGTTTGTTAATATCATCAACACTACAAACAATGCAGAATCCAAGTAACTTAATGATTTTTTAACTGTTGTCTTACAAGAATATATAATAACAACTAGAACAACAAGAATATATAATAACAATACTTACAGTAACATCAGCAGTCAAAGTATTAATTAATTTATCTTTAGCTTCTTGTCCAATATGTAGTTTGTAACCATCACGAACAAAATCGTTATCTTTTAGTGTTGGAAGTTCTTTTTCCTAATAAATAATAATTTTAAAATTGAGAACAGCACAATACATATATTTTTTTCAAGTATAGCCAAATACAGCTGCTGTCCAAAACCCAGAGTGAAACTTATGTTAATGAAAAATTTTTTAATCACATCAATAATTGAACAGCCTATGTATTATATACAATAATACATAGCTTTCTTATGAACTGACAATATTGTTGCACTTCAAAATGAGAACAGTTTCTGCCAATAAAGCAGCAATAATTTACTTCGCAGGCTCAATGATATAGTTTTGTATTACTATCATTGTCTCATTTATCATAGATCCACTGATAAGTAATGCAGATTTGAAATATTTCACTTAATTATATCACATGGTCTACTCAACAGAAAAAAATTTTTAGTCAAAATACAGGTCACACATGGATAAAATACTCATAAGTAGCACAAAGGATTACAGAAAGCATATGATGACATTATTGCCATATGCTATCATTTAGTAGATGTTTTTCACCAAGGATTTACACTTGTTTTCTTGTCCTTGGCAAAAGGCATTTACCCATTTAGCATCTCATGACAATACAGCATCATTATATGCTTCTTATAAGCATTCATTATAAGCATTTGTACATATGTGAGCTGTATTTTGATAAAACTATTTTGTTTCCATTGAGTAAACATTATAACACTTCACTTAAGTAATGCATGCTTGTGATAGTGCCAAGTCTTATTTGTTATGTACCCATCATTCACTCATAACAGCAAAATGAAACTTTCACTAAACTTCTGAAAAGGAAAAACACTATTGCTGTATCAGCAGGTGTTCTCACTATAAAACATCAATAATGCCAATTTAAAAACAACAGTCTATATAGTATTCATCATTTTATTTCATTTCAAGAATATTCATGTTTTAATTACAATAATAAAAAAACTATAACTACATTTATTCTAAATATATTTTGAATATAGCCAAAAATTCTATTGCAAATCAGTGAAAATTTATGTTTAAAATCCAACATATGAATTCAAAATAACTTAGAAGTTTTTATTTCTTGAATATTAAAAAGAACACCATAATTTTAAATTGTGTCAAAGTTACTTCACAATATATATATAGCAACATTAGCACTTTCCACCATTGTACTGATCTTTTGATCTGTACTGATTAGTTACCATTGTAATTAAACATACTTTCATTATATGAAATTTATTTTGTAAAGTAAATTCTAATTCAGTTGTATTCTTTTCAGCACAATCTTAATATCCAATCTTTACTATTTTATTCTATACTAAACATCATTGTCCAACTTTTATCCTTTGATCAAATTAAAAATAAAATATAGTGTTAATGAAGATGGTCTATTGTTTGAATAAAAACAGCTTTGCAATTTTAGTTTTCTAAACATTTTTAAAGTTGTGTGTGATTATTATATATTTTTATTAATATATAATAATCACACACAACTTGTACATTAAAAAATATTTTAATATTGCACAGTGGTTCCCAATTAGTTTTTCCTGCGTACCATTTTAAGAAAGAGCTCAAACTCGCGTACCCCTTATAGCAGAAATTCATATTAATCCATACTAATATTATAAATTCGAAGGTAATTATATCTGTCTGTCTGTTACCTTTTCACGTCTAAACCACTGAACAGGTTTTAATAAAATTTGGCACAGAGATAGCTTACATGTTTGAGATGAACATGGGCTACATTTTACTGCGAGAAAATATCTTATTCCCACGAGAAAATTCCATATAATGCAGGCGAAGCTGTGGGTAGACAGCTAGTGATAAATAGAATAAGTTTTTTTACATTTATTACCTTTAAAATACAATTCTAATAATAATGAAAATAACATAAGGTTATTTAATTTTAATGT